AAAAAAAAAAAAAAAAAAAAGAACTAATGAGCAAGAAGTATGGGACTGACCGTGCAGAAGAGTGGGCAAGTTGAGGAACTTAAGAAGAGCATGCTGATGGAGGCTATGCACAAAGTCATGGGCCATACACACAGGTGGTAGAACAGGGTCAAACTCCTATAAGCAATGAGTTGCTTCTGTTTTGTCTTTGTTCATGCTGATTTTTCTGGAATGACTCTCCCTTTGACCTCTCCAACTTTCCCACCTAATTTTCCCTCTATTAATTACAGCTCAGTCATCAGTAACAGTGGGAAGCACTTCCCTGACAAGCTCCTCCAGGCCCTGATCTCAGCTGGGAGCCTAAAATACTGATTCCTTAGTATTTCAGATTTGCTAGTATCATTGCATTTACAAAATTTGTTTATTTATTTTACTTATTTTGGTTTTTTGAGACAGGGTCTCACTTTGTAGTTCAGGCTGCCCCTGAACTCTTTATGTAGCTCAGGCTGGCCTCGGACTCACGGCAATCCTTCTGCCTCTGCCTTCTGAGTGCTGGGATTACAGGCATGAGCCACCATGCCTGGCATTACAAAATTTATTTAGATCGTATATTTATGTGTTCATCGCCACTGTGGGCTCCTGGATCATGTTTATTTACCTTTGGAGCCTCAAGGTCAGTTCTAGACTCAATACAGAATAAGTATAGTAATTTTTGTTAAACTGAAGAGCACTACCACCACCTCAAGAATCCAGGGCATTTGAAATAGAAAGGAAGTAACCTCCTCCTGCCTTCCTGGTGCACATGGTTTCATGAGTCTTTACACTTGGGTGACCATATTCTTCTATCTTCCCCTACCAACCCTCCCATCCATTTATTACCTACCTTCCCCTCCCCTAAATTCCCACATGCTAATAATTTAGTATCAAAGCTGCCCTACCTCACAGGCCAGAATGAGCCCATCCAGACCTAACATTTCCATGGAGTTTTGTGATTTATGGAAGGCTAAGGGAGTGTAGTACAGACACCATCAGCTCTGATGTCAGACACATCTGGGTTCAAATTCTATCCCATTTACCAGCTGTCTGACAAAATTCATTTCTCTGAGCCTGTTTTCAATGTAGATTTGTTTAAGGTTGGATCTCCCCAGAAGCAGAGCTAAAGTGAATACAAATATTTGGGAAGGACCCAGGATAAGGCCAGGATTACAGTGATGAGTGAGATGCCTAGGAGGCAGAATCCTAAAATCCTCTCAGATGCACTCAAGTGCTAACAGTGAATTTACATGAAGTTAACAATGAAGGCTCCTTGCCTAGTTCTGGTGCTAACACAGAAGTTGGATGAAGGTAGCAAGGGAAAGAAGCCAATAGAGTAGCTATTGCTGGCAGCTACAGAGGTTCAATCCAACGGAATCCCTGAGAAGACAGAATGTGCCTGTCATTCTACCCAAGGGGCGAGGAAGATGGGGTACCTAGCCTCCAACTTCCATTTTCACTGGCTGAGTGCTGCCCTGGGGCAGTACTTCCCTGGCATTTTCAGTGTATGTGCCAACACAACCCAATTCCCCAGGCAGTCACAGGTACTTGCAACACAATCAGGTGGATATAGAGAAGGTGAAAGACCAAGTGAAGTAAACCAGGCACAGCCTCTGCTAGAAGCTATTATAAGGATAAAAGAAACAACACAGCTACAACACCTTATAAAGAGAAGTCCCCCATCTCCCAATTTATGGCAGTATGTTGCAACGTTAATGGAGCTTCTCAGATCCCCATGAATCAATACCACCAGCAGCACGCCTCCTAGGGGCCCCAGAGAGCCCTAAATGTCCAGGATCCAAACTTCCTGTACAAAGTCCACAGGGATAAGGTAGACACTTTTGAGTGTTAACTCGAGAACTGTCTCCTCTTGCATTTGGTACCCCACCTCTCTCTGGCCCTTCTACCCCTCACTGCAACAAATGCTACTATGACATACTGGACTAACATCATATTAATAACAACTGCTGCTACTAACTCACCATCTTCTATGTACTACAGCCTTTATACACATTATGTTAGTCCTTAGAAGCTATAAGGCTGAGTAACTTCTATCAGACACAGTGCAGACTTGGGTAGATCTGACACACTTTGTTTTGTCTTCATTCTTTCACTAATGCTTTTCCCCTAGGCCCCAGCATAAGGAGAATAAGCCTGTGGACAAACAAGCAGCCCTTACCAAAAACTGGCTGGGGAGTTCCCTTAACTCACCATTAGCTAATAATTAGGCCGGTAGTTCCTGGTCCGGCTGATCCACATGCCCTCAGGCCGGTGACCCAACCATTGTACACTGTTCAATTTTAAGCCAAATAATTCACCTTCCAGTAGCAGCACTTTCCCTTTTCTTATCTTCAGGCAGAGAGATAAACACACTGTTGTTCCCTGTTTATAGAGCTCTACCTTCAATAAATTGCCATTTAAGGAGAGAGGAGATGAACCAGGGTTAAGCTGATGGGACGTAAATGATAAACTACTTTTCCTTAGAAAGAAAAGTAGAAAAATAATCAATATTAGAGTCAAAATATAACACTTTCTCTGCAACTAAAGAATGGAGTAGTGTGCTTACTGCAATGGACAAAGAGTGGCTTTATTTGTTCCTTGGAGCCTGTTTTCTCATCTAAAAATTAGTTATAATATCTATGCTAGTAATTCATTACCTGGACTATAGTAGTTGCTATTGTAAAAAAGGCTACTACATAAGGGATTCTGGCTGTAGTATCAGTGTCATCAACAGCAAGACATTTATGCATGAAATAGATGTGAACCTAGGACCCTAGGTTCTAGGCAGGACATACAGTGCCCTAATGTCTGTGCTGGGTCTTCTAGCCAGTTACCTATGAACTCCCCAATCTAACACATATGTCATTTTCATTTTAAAATAAAGGAATAGATAACTTTGGACATGATAAATAAAAAATTAGGATAATCTGAGTCATGTGGCAATTTATCCCCGCCCAAGAGCCTTTCCTGTCAATAGCCACCTCCCATACATTTTCATTACATCTTTAAATCAGCCAGCTTTTTTAACACCCGTATTTGGTCATCTCCTTCAGGTAGTTACTTCTGCCATTTGACAGCCTCTCATCTTTGAAATCTCCCTATGCATGGAGGACATACCACAGACAACATGGTGTAGAATGGAAGGTTTCTAAAGCAGAAGTTACTGCTATGGCGATGGCCTTTGGCATCAAGAGAAACAACCTTGGTTTGAACAGATGATTATGCTTGGCATCCCCACTGATTAATCTGCAGTATTTTGAAAAAACATAATTACATGGGAAACAATAACTGGACTGTTCATTTATAAATCTTGGGGAGAATGGTAGGACATATCTCTCAAAAGTCCTATCCTCTGGTTGAAAATTCTTAATCGCTTGAGAACAGTAAAATGCAGTGACAGGTCACTGAATGAAAGAAACAACAGAATAAGTAGTCATATTCAATGCCCCAGGACCTTCCAAAATGATGTCAGGAACAGTGAAAGGAGTAACCACAGTATTTAGAACTGTAACTATAGATTAAGTAATTATGGGCAGTATGTCAAAGATTAGTAATGAAATTCCTTCAGGAACATGAGTTTGAGAACTTTCTCTACAATTAAAATATCCCCACTCCAAATTCTACAACACACAGGGAAAAGAAAAATCTCCAACAGCTGAAATAAGATTTGATACATAGATAAATATATTTAAACTTTCTTTTAACTGTAAGTAAATTTAAACAGAATATTACAAAACAGAATACTATACACTGTTGTCTGTATAGATCATAGAAAACATAAAAACCAGGATGACGAGTGGGTGCTAGGGATGAAAATTACAAGATCAAAACTTGCTAAAAAATGAGCTGTGGAAGACACTATGGCTTAATGAACATGGCCCACCCTTATTATTAATTGTTTTGTCAATTTTTGGACCCAAAAAGTCAGTGTTTTCTTCTTCTTCCTCTGCTTGCTTTGGTCCGTTTTCGGCTACCTGGATGGATAGCAAGTTGCTTTTTGAAGTCTATTAAGCAATCTGTAGCTTCTGAAATGGAAACAAAAGACTTGATGGGAGATTCATTTAAGTTGAGATGTATGAGGGAGCTTTGCATTGCTCTGCTGCAGCCTGCCTCTTCCTCTGAAGGCAACCTAGAAGGGGAAAACTCAGGTTCAAAATACACCTAAGCACCAAGTACATATTATGCACTAAACCAGGGCTTTAACGATCTTTATAATAATACAATTGCATAAGTACTATTATTGTGCTTTCACAGACAAAGACACTGGGTAAATCACATAACCTAAAGCCACACGAGGATTCAAAACCAAATTCCTGACCTGCCTGAAATCTATTTCAGAAGATCAGGGTTGGATGGGGACAGAGAGGTAGAGAGGAGAAAGACATAGCTTCTGCTCTACTTGTTTTAACACCATGAGTGAATGCAGCTATCCATCCTAAAAACATGGATATACTGGGGAGAAGGAAAGAGGAAGGGAGAGACAAAGGAAGTGGGAAGGACAGAGGAGGAGGGAGAAAAATTAATAATCAAGACTGCTGATTTATGAATTTCTAGGAAGAATGTCAGGACATAACTCCTAAAGGTCCTATGCTCTGGATGAAAATTCTTAACTGGCTAAGAATGCTCCTGACCTACAACCATGCATGGGGAGAACAGACTGTGGAAATACAGGAAGACAGAGGAGAGGGGAGAGGAGAAGGTATAGTAAGGGCGAGGGAAAAGAAAGGAAGGAAGAGGTAAAGGGAAAGTGGGAGAGTAAGAAACATATTTCAGTTTCAACAGTTTTAAGTATTACATTACACACAGAATCCAGGACCAGGTCTATACATTTCAGAACTGATGACAGCTACACTTCAGTGCATACTCTCCCTCACGCACCTGAAAGTTCCTATTTCTGAAGACTTGGTCTTTATCTCTGCATCTGTGACAAGAGAGAAAGAGGAATAATGGTAATCATACCACACTGTTCTGGTGCTTCCCATGTTGTAGGCACTGCTTTCTATTAGGCCTATTCAAGTAGCTCAAATCTCCAATCCTCAGATCAGTGGATCAGGTTCAGGGGCTATTGAGGTGAACACTTTTGAGTGAAACACTTTTGATTAAATCTGCAAATCTGGAATTGAGCAATAAGTAGTTGCCAAGGGAAATCTGCCACCTGCAGAAGTTCACAACCTGGTGATCCAGAAGCAGCAGGATTATGCTTGGAGAGGTTGCCTTTTCATGGTTATCAGAAGGCACAACAGATTTGCTTGGTGGGGATGGACTATTAGAACTAGACAGTAAGCAAATCTCCCTGGGCTCAAGCAAAGGTTCCCTTTCCATATCCATTTGGTGAAATTTAACAGTAGCAACTAATAACAACAGTAATAATAGCCGCTAACATTTATCAAAAGCTTACTATTCCAGGGGATAGTTTTAGAGCTTTACTAACAATCCCTGTGATCCATAAAGATGGTATTACTAACTCTTTAATGCTCTTTT